TAACGTTTTCATTAAAGGCTGAAGGAACAGGGTCCTGACATTTGAAGAAAAGACACCACAGGATTTGTTCTCTTAACTAACACTTCATATCCAGACCCAGTGGGGAAGCCAAGGTAATGGGAAGGGGCAGGACACAAGTGAAGGTCGCACTCAGCAGGTGGAGGGTGGGATCAGCGGTTGGACTCAAACAGCCCAGCCCAGCTCTCTCCTTGGCGGAGGGTCAGACCATCAGCAATCTGTCCGGGGGCTACGTGCCAATCTTGAACTTGAGGCTGCATCTCGGCTTTCTTACCAGAATCAGCTGTTGTTTCAGGCCAGGTGGTGCCAGGTGGATATTGTATTTCTCTCCTGGGCCCCAGAGCCAGGGACACTCTTTCTCAGAACCCAGTGCCATCCCCTGCAGTGTGATTTCTGTGTAGTGGCCCAGGGAACAGCGAGCTCCCGGCTGGCAGGCAGAAGCTCTGAGTCAGGCCTGGCTAGCTCCGCGAGGTCACCTGCCCAGCAGGAGGGCTTGGGTTGACTGCCCTCCAGCCACATGTCCGGACAGAACAGGCCAGACTCTCCAGTAACCCAGGCAGCACCCTCTGCCGGGGTGTCTTCAGGGCATGTAGAAGGGAAGATCCAGTCGCGTCTCCTGCTTCCATTCCGGACGGTCTTGGCCCTGGAACCCCCTGTCCCAGCCTTGCCTCCAGCACACCCTTCCATGGGGCCTGTCTAGGAAACCAGCAGGCCAGCTCTGCAAAGGGTGAGGTGGAGGGATAGGCCTTCTCCAAAGAAAGAGCCACAAGCATCAGAAAGTAACACCCTGCCCATGGCTGAGATCCCCCCATTTCTGTGGGCTGAGAGACCTCAGAGATCTAGCCCAAGTCCCCCACAGTATAGGAAAGAAAAGAGGCCCAGCCAAAACCGGTTTGGCTCAGTGGATAGAGCGTTGGCCTGCGGACTGAAGGGTCCCAGGTTCAATTCTGGTCAAGGGCATGTACCTTGGTTGTGGGCACATCCCCAGTAGAGGGTGTGCAGAAGGCAGCTGGCCGATGTTTCAATCTCATCGATGTTTATATCTCTCCATCTTTCTCCCTTCCTCTCTGTAAAAAATAAAAATTTAAAAAATCAATAAAATATATTGAAAGAAAGAAAGAAAGAAAGAAAGAAAGAAAGAAAGAAAGAAAGAAAGAAAGAAAGAAAGAAAGGAAACAGAGGCCCAGAGAGGGAAAGGAGCTTGCCTGGGGTCACACAGCACTTAGAGCCAGGCTGAAACCTGGTCCTGCTGAAACCAGCCATTCTCAGCCCACAGGTGCTTGCAGAGCGTGGAGGTGACAGACCTCACTCAGGCCCCCAAAACGCCACGAGGGAAACATCTCTAGGAGCCACCCATGCCCTGGCAGCATCAAGTGCAGTCACAGTCATTGCCTCTTACAGCCTCCAGCATCGCACAAAGCACGTAGACACATGGCCTGTTTTCATATGTTCAGTATTCCTGTAAGTGCAATTATTATTACCGTTTCCATGAAAATTAACCCAAAGGCCCCCACTAGGCTCTCTCTAGCCATCCCTTGTCTCCTGTCCCCTCACTGTCGAGGCCAGGCCATCTCTAAGGCATGCCTGAGATAGGAGGGAAGGACAGCAGACCTTCAGGAGCACAAGATGGACTCTCCGATAAACACCATCGGAAATCCCTCTCCAGCCCCTGGAGGGCACTGCCTGGGGGTGGCCGGCACTCCCCGCAGGAGGCTCACCCTGAGACCAGCACAGGGCCCCGTGAGCTCACCTGAGCCCCAGCCTCCCAGAGAGCGCATGCTGGGAAGAAGCTCGGCCCACAGTAACCCCAGCTCCCCTGTTTTTGTCCCATCACACAGGCCAGGGCTCTGTTTCCTGCCTCTCCCCTCCCCGTTCTCCCCGCCTTTCCTCTTCCTGCTCTCCACCCACAGTCAGCTGCCTGCTCATCTGAGGAAGCCGAAATTAGAGCCTCACAGGCGATGCCCTGTCGTGGCTGTGCCCTTGCTGTCAGCTGTCACACAGACCCAGCCAGGAGCATATCTGGAGAGGGTGGCCCAGAGCCGCAGGGCTGGGCTTCAGGTTCCTGGAAAAGCCATGGCGGAGCTGGAGGGCACTGGAGCCAGCCACCTGAGGAAGGGAAACACGTCACTGTGCCATGTCCCTGAGAGGATGTCCCAGTGTCAGGAGCAGAGAGAGCAGGGTCGCTCTGCCAGGCTCCGCGGGACAGCGTGGGAGGGTAGTCACCAGGGAACATTTTGTTCAAAACAAGAAAAAACTGTCCTTCTCTCCCAAGGTGGCCAGGGTACTTCGGGTCAAAGGGCACATACATAATACTTTGAGTCAGGGAAGGCCCCTCCTACCAGTGCCCCAGGGAGCAAGGTACTCAGTAGTCATCTTCTCCAAAATGGGTCTGGTGAGGTGTATCGCATACACTCGCTTGGAATTCCTTATAGCACATCCAAAGACGAACTGGAAATTCTCCAGGAGGCGAGGCTCGGGGTCCCATGTGCCCGTCTCAGCCTCCCACACAGAGGCTGTGACACCAGCCAGGACAGCACAAAGAGCAGAGCCTACCAGGGCAGTGGGCACTGAGAAAGCAGCCCTGGTCAGGAGCCAGACCTTTCTGGGATCAAGTCCCAGCTCTGCTTCTTCCATGTTGACCTCTAGCAAGACATTAGGCCTCTCTGATCGAGTCTCCGGTTTTTTACCTGTAAAATGGAGCTGTAAACCAGGCCCTACCTCCGCCATAGGGCTGGATAAGGATCAAATGAGAAAGAAGAGCAAAACTTTGGAGGCTGTAGGTTACATATACTCAAAGCAATGATGTGTTGGGAATTTCTGGCTATAATTATTTTTTTAATATATTTTATTGATTTTTTACAGAGAGGAAGGGAGAGAGATAGAGAGTTAGAAACATCGATGAGAGAGAAACATTAATGAGAAACATCGACCAGCTGCCTCACAACCAATGTGACCGGAGTCGAACCCAGGATCTTTCAATCCACAGACCGATGCTCTATCCACTGAGCCAAACCGGTTTTGGCTCTGGTTATAATTATTTTTATTCCAGGAAGAACATGGGTGACACACAATCGCGTTCAATAATTTATGTCCATGTAACAAACTCTCCCTAGGTACCTATTGTGCTGGGTTCTAGAATTGAAAACATAAATAAGACAAAACCCCGTGTCCTCCAAGAGAAGCTAACTGGGAAGACAGACTGTAAATTCTTCACCACAGCAGAATGTGGTACACAGAGTGGACACAAAGTGACAGTGAAAGCACAGAGGAGAGGAACTCCACCGGTGCCGAGGGAGGCAGGCATGAGGGCCGTGGAGGAGGGAGTATTAGAATAGAGTTTTACAAACTGGGGACGAACATTTCCGCATCTAATCACAGGCCCCCAAGACATATGAGGCAAAAATTGACTGACCGAAGAAAAAGACAATCCTATATAATAAAAGGCTAATATGCTAATTGACAAAATGGTTGAACGACTGGTCACTATGAGGTGCACTGACCACCAGAGGGCAGATACTCAATGCAGGAGCTGGCCCCTGGTGGTCAGTGTACTCCCACAGGGTTAGCACCTTTGAGCCAGAAACTGGGCTCATGGCTGACGAGCACAGCAGTGGTGGTGGGAGCTTCTCCTGCCTCCACAGCAGCGCTAAGAAGGTCCAGCTGCTGGTTTAGACCTGCTCTCAGACATCCCCCGAGGGCTCAAGGACTGCAAGAGGGCATAGGCCAGGCAGAGGGATCCCCTGAGTGCACGAATTTCATGCACCAGGTCTCTAGTTGCATAATAATAGCTGGAGACATCAACACCCCACTCTCAGTAATGAATGAAACAGTCAGAAAGAAGATCAGTAAAGAATTAAAGGACTTGAGAAGCATCATAAACCAACTGGAGATAATATGGCACAAACATAATATAAAACACTACCCAACAGCAACAGCACATACATTCTTTTTTAAAATATATTTTTATTGATTTCAGAGAGGAAGGGAGAAGGAGAGAGAGAGATAGAAACATCAATGATGAGAGAGAATCATTGATCGGCTGCCCTTTGCGTGTCCCACACCAGGGATCGAGCCTGCAACCCAGGCATGTGCCCTGACTGGGAATTAAACCACGACCTCCTAGTTCATAGGTCAATGTTCAACCACTGAGCATTGCCGGCCAGGCACATATACAGTCTTATCAATTACACATGGGACATTCTCTAGGACAGACTACATGTTAGGCCACAGATGAAGTCACAATAGCCAAAAGATGGAATCAACCTAAGCAACCATGGACAGGTGAAAGAATAAACAAAATGCGGTATATGTACAATGGAATATCATGCAGCCCTTAGAAGGAAGTTCTGACACATGCTACAACATAGATGAAATGCCAGTCACAAAAGGACCAATTCTATCTGATTCCACCCCCAGACACATCCAGAGAAGCCAGATTCATAGAGACAGGAAGTAGAATGGTGGCTGCAAGGTACCACGACGCGGAGAGGGGGGATGGGCAGTTAGTGTGTAATGGGTTTGGTTTCGGTTAGGGATAATGAAAATGTTCTGGAGATGGATGGTGGCAATGGTAGCACAACAATGCGAATGTACTTAATGTCACTGAACTGTACACTAAAAAATGGTTAAAATGTTCAATTTTTTGTTCTGTGTATTGTACCACAATTTTTAAAAATAAATAGTTTTGGAGGGCGGGACTTGGCGGCCTCGGTGGCAATAGTGGACACGTCGAGCCGGTCACTAGTGGAAAGGGTTGATGAAGAGTCGTGAGGGGTGATGAGTTAAGGTCCTGAAAGGGAGGCACCGGTGGCAAGACTCAATCTAGAAAGACTCTTCTGCCGATTCTCAACTTTCCCTGGAAAAAATGAGCCATTCCCACCATGGGGGAGGAGCTCTGTGAGCCACACCATACCATCTTCTCACCATGACACAGCCACTTCAGCCTCCCACCTCCATGAGGCGGAGATGGCAACGTGATGATCATGCACATGACCTTCTGCGTTGGCTTTAAGAATGTGGAACTGTTGTTTCCTGGCGTGGTGATCAACACAGCTGGAGAAATGGCTGGAGCTTTTGTGGGAGTGTTTTTACTAGCAATGTCCTATGAAGGACTCAAGACAGCCCGGGAGGGCCTGCCACGCACGTCACAACTCAGCATTTGCTACAATTCCATGCCTGTTCCAGGACCAAATGGGACCATTCTTATGGACACACACAGAACTGCTGGGCAGCAGATGCTGAGCTTCCCTCGCCTCCTGCAAACAGTGCTGCATATCAACCAGGTGATCCTCAGCTACCTCATCGTGCTCCTCCTCATGACCTGCAATGGGTACCTCTGCGTTGCTATAGCAGCAGGAGCCGGCACAGAGACTTTCTCTTCAGCTGGAAGGAGGCAGTGGCAGTGGACATCACAGAGCATTGCCATTAACGTCAAACTCCATGGTGTGGCCTTACTGATTGCAGTGAAAGCAGTTCAAGACTGGAAGACATTATTCCTACTCGAATCTCCCCTTCTTGCTCCTTCACTCCTTATACACACGCCTTCTCAACAGAGGGTTAGCTTCCAGTCTGTGAGCTAAAATAGTAATCCCTGACTGTTCTTCTTCCTGAGCTGAGATTCCCATTTCTCTTGAGGTGAAACCACCCAGGAGACGTCTTCTCCTCTGCCATCATCTTGGGTCCAAGATACATGTTCTTGTCTAGTCAGGGTAGTTGTCCCTTCAGTGACTTGGTCACCTGCTTTCTTTTTTGGTTTTCTGTTTTTATTTTTAGCAGACAATCTGAATTTGGTGGGGTTTTCCTGGGTCAGTGATGGAAAAGGATTAGCTTTAGCTGGGAACCATGGCAGCTGAGGGAAATTCTTGCCCAACTAAACCCAGAACCCAAACTTAACACTAAAACATAAGTTCCAGTCTTTGGACTCCATGAGAGGGAAACATGGGGTGCCTTTCCCTGAGTAGTGCAGAGGATGTTTGAGACTCTGAGCTGGACCTTACGAAAGTGTGCATTTTGGGGTGGCTGACTCATCTATGGTTCTCACTCAACATTTTGATTAGAAGGAACTTGCCAATAAAAAATAAAAAAAAGACATGACAATCAAGTTGAGAAAATAAACGTAAGTATTTTAAAATAAAACCACTGACATTTTTAAAAATAACAAAAAATAAATAAATAGTTTTTTAAAATTAAAGAATGAGGAGGGAACATTCCAAATAGTCCAAGTGGGGGAGAAAAGTCTAGGAAAAAAAATTGGTTGTGCAAAAGCACTGAGGCACAAAAGCAACCGAATTAGCAAGGTGCCCCCAACATGTAAGACACACAGAGGCATGGGGGCGGGGGGCTGTACAAGGCCCCCAAATGTCCTGCTCAGGCGTGTGCAACCTGCTCTGTGGGCTCTAGGGAATGACAGGATCGCAGTGTAGCTCAGAACAATGAAACCAGGAGAAGTCCGGGCAGGACTGACAGAACGGACAGACAGAGGGGGAAGCTGTGTAGCGAGCAACACCTGATCCAGACAGATGTTAAAAGGGAAACTGCTTTCCACACCACCCCGGGGCTGCAGTGAGAGTGACTCAAGCCATTTGCCTCACGGGGCCACCAGCTGAAGGCGGACGGGATTCCCCTGAAACTGAAACCAGGGCCAGTTGCGTCGGTGGGGACCCTGAGCGAGCAGCAGCTCTGCCGTGTGGTCCTCCCTGCACCGTGCCGCCTGTGGGGGTGACACTGAGCCCTGATGAAGGGCTTGTCTCCCTGCAGTCACACTCTGTGGTTTCCACCAACTCACAGGAAGGCAAGCTCAACTGCCCAGTGTGCAAATGGGCATAAGGAGTGGGCGGGGGCCTAGGTGATGTCTTTGAATCAAGCCAGTGTGGGAAATCCCAACTCTGACATATATAAATGGTGACCGTGGGCTGCCCTGTGTCTATACGGGTCTCAGGTTGCCAATCTACAAAACGAAGGAGTTAGACCCCTAACTCCATCGGTATGCCCCTCCCACGAGGAAGGGCAGGACATTGCCAGACACGGTCAGTAATCAGACAGATGCCCACGGATGGAGCACCATGTTCTAAGCTCTTCCCCTTGAGTCGTTTTGGTCCACGACTAGTCTCCCTCTGCCAGCTGTAGGTGAGTGTCCCCTCAGGATTTCCCTTCTCTCTTTCCCTCTCTCTAGTTCCCTTGTGTTTCTCCCCCGTAAGTTTTCTTCCTCTTACGAGTGGGGAGCTTGGAATCCTATGGATGGAAGGAGAAAAATAAAGGCAAGTCCTCCCCACCTACCCCCCCCCCAAAAAAAAAAGCTATGGAATATTCTATGTGTGAAATCAGCTGCCTCTTTGCTAAAACAGGCCTGTCATTCCACTCAAAGCACCACTTGGTCTTTCCAAAGGAAGCAAGCCAAGTGAAATGCACATATATAGATGTCCTCGAGGCAGGATTTGCTGCAAACCGGATTGTCAAAAGTCAATTTGCCAGATGATCAATTCGCTGCCTTGCTGAGAAAGTTCCTCACGTGACATTGTAGTTTTGCCACCACCATCGCCCTCGGGGGTGGGCTAGCCCCGAGGAACAAAGGGGCTCCCCTGTCACCAGCTGACTTCCAGGATTGCCCGGGGGGGAGGGGGGGGTCACCTACAGTCCAGCCAGCTGGGAGGGAAGAGGCCCGTGTTAGGGGTGGATATCGCAGCCACTTACACTCCGTGGCCTGGCTCTGAGTGTCGTGTCCACCGACAATGGGGCCTGGGAACGCAGTCTCTGCACAGGCAGCCTCTCCCCAGTGGCAGCTCTGGGGAGTGACAAGCCCTGCAAAGGAAGCACTTATCTTCAGTGGGCAGCGAGCCATCGCTGGCACGGATGGGCCTCAGACACCACGCTCTTCTCAAATGCTCCACCACACAGAGCCAAACGTGGGCCTTTTCTTATTATACACGGCTGCCTCCTCTATTTTGGCAAACTTACAGTGTTCCTGCCCCAGCCCCTCCCCCTGCCCATGCCCCTGCCCCCACCTCAGCTGTGGACCACGCAAACGAGTGGCTTTTCCTTAAACACAGCTCCCACATGGCCTTATGCTCTGCTCCAGCTTTCACATCTTCGTCTACATGGCCACAGCCTGTGTTTCCACCCCAGCCCTGGTCTGCCCTGGCATCTCGCCCGGCCCTGCCTTTTCACCGATGGACTTCCCCTTCACCACAGGCTACTGCTTTCTCTCTTTTTTAAAGAGCTGTGCCCATCCGCCAAGGAAGGGAAGGCCTGTGGAGCGCTAGGAAACAAGTCTGGAGGCAGAAAGCTTAACCTAAGCCACCACGGGAATGCACAGAGGCCCCATTTTGAGTTCTCTTTGGTACAAAAGGAAGAGGGAGCCCTTGCATCTTGAAACTGGGAAAGCTAGCCTGGCCGCTCTGTGCCCTCACCACAGAAACCTCCCTAACTAGACCACGTAAATTTGAAACCAAAAGAAGAATGTGGGGACTTCTGCTTCTAGTCATGATAGGGATAACAGGGACTGACTTACCCTCCAAGTCTGAGACCACAACAACAGAAGCAGAAAGGAAGGAGGGCAGATGCTGTTGTCAATATTTCTGATGTGCACCTGTGGCTATTCATGGGATTCGCTCTCTGTGAGCACAGGGCGGGGGTCAGGGAACTGGCAGGAAGGGAGGGCCACACTGCAGCGTATTCATACAGTCATATACTCCTCAGCTATCCAAATGGACAAGCCATCGCCACATGGCCCAGCACAACTGATCTCACACACACAACAGTAAAACATGCTGGTCACAGAAGACATACAGGATGATTTCATTCCTATAAAATTCACAAACAGGTGACTTAACTCCATCATACTATGTCATAAAACAAAAAGAAAGGCAAGAAAGTGATTCTCCTCAAAGTGAGAACAGTGCTGACCCGGCCTGGGGACCGAAGAGAGGGGACCCTAGGAGATTACAGGTGTTTGCAAGGTTCCAGTTCTGGACCTGGGTGGTGGTTATACAGATTTGTTTTATAATTACCCATTCAAATCTGTAATTTTTAAAACTTTTATCTTTGTATAAATCACATTACTTAAAAAAATAGAAGAGCCGAAACTGGTTTGCCTCAGTGGATAGAGCATCGGCCTGCGGACTGAAAGGTCCCGGTTTAATTCCAGTCAGGGGCATGTACCTTGGTTGCAGGCATATCCCCAGTGGGGGGTGTGCAGGAGGCAGCTGATCGATGTTTCTCTCTCATAGATGTTTCTAACTCTCTATCCCTCTCTCTTCCTCTCTGTAAAAAAAATCGATAAAATATTTTTTTTTTAAATAGGAGAAAAGCTAAAGAAAATATGATTAAATATTAACTGTTTTCAATCCTGGCGAGTCTGTTACATCATTAATCACATTTCATAGTAATTTGTTTGTTTGTTTTTCTTTTCCAAATTATTATTTATTATGATAATAAATGAGGAATGAAAGAAGTCAGGCAAAAAGAGAGAACATGCATGACATGTGCAATTTTCTATGCCATTCGTATAAAGTTCAAGAAAGTGCAGATCAATATTTTACATTAATTAAACAGAAAGCAGATCAGTGATTCCTGGGGAGCAGGGGCAGGGAGGGATCCGAGGGAGGGAGCAGGAATTAACTTTTTGGGGGTGACAGATACATATGTTCATTATGTGGTTGGTTTCGCATGTGTATAGTTATGTCAAAATGTATCAATTTATACAACTTAAAATGTGGAAGTTTATTGTATGTCAACTATACATCAATAAAGCCGTTTTTTTTTTTTTAAAAATAAACTTTGTTGTGCCTTTCCATGCTTCACATAGTCATCAATATACATATACATTGATTTGAAATAAGGGAGCTGTTTTTAAAGTCAGAGGGACCTGGGTAGAGAACGGTGATGCTGGCTGCCAGAGGGCTGTGTGCCTTTCGGTCAGTCATGGCACCCAATTATGTCAACGTAATTGCGTTCTACCTTTGATGTTAAAAGAGCCTCCACTATTCTCCCTCCCTCCTTTCTCTCTCTTCCCCACCCCACCTTCCTTCTTCTCACTCTATTTCTCCTCTCTCTCTCTCTCTCTCTCTCTCTCTCTCTCTCTCTCTCTCTCTGTCCCCCTCCTCCTCCTTTTCTCTCTCAGCTTTAGGAGACATGACAGCACTCATAACAATGATAAACGATCATTTCTGTCACTGAATAGCATCCTGTAGTTTATAACATGCTTTCTCATCTCTGTTGATTCTCACAACAATCCTCGGGTGTAGTAATGGGAAAATAAAAGGCAACTGTAACCGCTTCAGCCTCCTAAGGAGGGTGGTAAACTTCATACCAGCGGGGAACTCAATCTCTCTGCTGCCCCTTCCACTCTCAGACACTGATAATGAAGACAACAGATGAGAGATGCAGCCAGTTCTTTAACGCCAGCTCCCTCCCTTCAGCAGTGTGACAGCCTGTTTTAATGAAGTTTTTTTTTTTTAATTTTTATTGATTGCCCTAACTGGTTTGGCTCAGTGGGTAGAGTGTCGGCCTGCAAACCGAAAGATCCCAGGTTCAATTCCGATCAAGGGGATGTACCTGGGTTGTGGGCACATCCCCAGTAGAG